CTGTGGGGACAGCTCTGTGGAGGTGGGACCCTGACACCATCCAGCCCCAGAAATGTAACTGCCAGACCCGCTGCAGGTTAAGAGGACCCAGGATTACCCTTCCCATGCCAGGGGCTGCATCCTGCCCGTGGCCCAGTGGATGCCTGGGCTGTCCAGCCAGCCCCCATCACCTTCAAGGAGGTGGGATGCAGTCACTATGGCAACAAAAAGAAAGGATCGAAAAAAAATAAAGTAAAAAAAGGATATTTTTTTGCCTAGGAGACCCTCCCCTAGAATGTCTGTGGGTGACAGTGCTGGGCAACTCCTTATGCCATGAGCCAGGGAAGAGGTACTGCAGGATGCAGAACCACACTGAGGTTTGGAGATCAGGACAAACGATGGAGGAGGGATGGTACAGAGAGCCAGAGCTCACTGCTGGCTGAGCAAATCTCCTGCCTCACCCTGCCAGGCCGGCCATTGCCATGCTGTGCCTTCACACCCATGAGCACCTTCCTGACAGAGGCAGACAATGAGCCAGAGGAGGGCCAGGGACACAACTAACAGTGGGCAGGTTTTGCACTGGAATTTGGAACTGAAGACTTCAGCCCTTGTCTCAGTCCCAAGCACAGGCAGGCAGGGTTGGAACAGAAAGACAGCAAAACCAATGTGCTTTAATGGAGACCTTGGGACTCGCTTGCTGGGCAAGGACAAAAAGGTCCTCCATCAAAAAATGACATTTCCCACTGGGAAACAGGGAACCGAAGCTCCATGTCCAAAGTCTCAACCCCAGTCTGAGGTTGATAGGAGATTTGTTATTGATTCACTGTGGCCAGAATTTCATCCTGTGATTTAAACCTAACTCCTCCAAAGAGAATAAGATCAATTTTGCAGAGAATCAAATACATAAAGAACAGCCTTTGAGCCAGCATGCAGCAGAGGCAGGGAGGGTAGTTAAAAAAAAGCTCTTTCCTTATCAGGCAAGTTAAAAAAAAAAAAAGAAAGGAACCTGGAGAATGTTGTTTGCTCATTTTTCCTTTCCCAGTCAAAACAACCCCGCCTCTGCCGGCTCTCTGCATGGGCACTGAGGGAGTAGAGCAGCAGAGGGTTTCTTGTAGCAGGACTGGAATGTAGCTGCTGCAGTCGCCAACCCTGAAGCCCCCTTCCCAGATCCCCCAGCTCACATCCAGCCCTTCCCAGATCCCCC